TCTCCCTCCCCTTCTCCCCCAACTCTCCCTCCCCCTTCTCCCTCCCCTTCTCCCCCAACTCTCCCTCCCCCTTCTCCCCCTCTTTCTGTCTCCTACCCCATCCCATTTCACATTCCCCTCGCTCCTGTCTCTTTCCCCCCCCCCCATATAACTAACTCCCGACACTTGTTTTTCATTGAGCTGTGATTTTTCTGAAATGCAGCAATCCTGTTAAAATATTCTGTCCGGGGAAATGTTTTCTTTTAAACGCCCACGTTTTCTTGCGGGCGATTTCAGATCCCTGCGCGAATTTCAGACTTTAGGTACTGTCCCAGACCCCCAGCATCCGGGGGGGGGGGGGGGCAGGGGGAAGAGGGTAATGCCCAGTGTCAGGGGGCATGGGGTTTACTGAGAAATTCCCAGCTGTGTTGTGTTTAATTCAGGGACTGGGTTGAACACTCGTGTCCACATTCCGTGGGTTTCAGTCCCCTCCGATTCCGGACTTGGATGTGGTGCCAGGTCTCACTGCACCCCTGAGGGGACAGCCAGGGGCTATTGCCAGAGTGCTATTTGGCCACATCAGGCATCACAGCAGAAAGGGATCCTCACACTTGCCTCTCTTCCACACCCCCCCTCACACTCTCCTCCTCCTGTCATTCACTCACTCATTCTCCGCCTCTTTCTCTCTCACACATTCATTCATCTCTCTCACTCTACCTCTGTTTCTCGTCTCTCTCACTCCCCCCTCCTCCTCTCTCTCACACTCCCCCCTCCACTCTTTCTCACCCCCCGTCTCCTTTTCCCCCTCTCGCACTCCCCCTCTCTGTCACCCTCATTCAGAGTTGGGATTGAAATTGATCATAGACTGGAGTGTAATAATTCCCCGATTTGCCCCAGTTTAGGGGCTTAGCAGTAGCAAATGCCTGAATCACCCCATCCCCCCGACACTGGGCATTGCCCCCAGGATGCTGGGGGCACTGGGACTGCACATAAGTCGGAATCACATTTGTTGGAAAATGTATTTCCTGCACCAACACTGACCATCTGCATTCCCAGCCAGATCACCCCTACAAATGTGTCTGAACAGTTCTGCATCCTGAGACAGACTGGTGAGTGTCTGTGGGTAACCCTGTCACCTGTCCAAGTGAGACACACATGAAAGCTGGTCTCCGTGAAGTAACTGTAAACATTGTCCCTGTGTGAAGGTGGCTTTGGTTCGGTGCTCACTGATTGAGAACCTGGTGTTGGTTTTGTAAATATGATCTGGAAGCCTTGGAAATGGTCTGTGTGTGTGAGAGTGAGTGTGTGTCTGTGTGTGTGAGAGTGAGTGAGTGAGTGTGTGTGTGTGTGTGTGTGTCTGTCTGTGTCTGTGTGCGTGTGTTCCCTTATTCCTCTGGGTGGTGGTATTACTTAGTTTTTGAGAGAGATGTAGCTTATTGTAACACGTTGCTGAATCTCCATTAACCCTGCATCCTTCCAGTGCTGTCAGAGCATTACACACTCAGTCACCTGTTAAAAATCCAACCACAGCCCATGCTCGAGCAAAAAGCTTCACTAAGTTTGGAATCTTGTGTTTGTTTTAGAGAAAACTCTCTCACTTTCTTTCCTCTGTCTATGATATGCCACTGACAGTGAACGTGCCTCCCTGCCCTATTCTCCCCTCCCTGCCCTATTCTCCCCTCTGGCCATCTCTCCTGCTGTTGTATTCACAATAGGGGCCTGTTCTCAACTGATCTGCTTGAGTGTCAGTAGGACAGAGGTAGGAATTGCATTTCAATATCATCCTTCTCATCCTCAAGATGTCATCAAGTATTTCGCAGGTGGTATATTTTTAAAGTGTGGTCACTGTTGAAAACATTGGTCAATCAATTTGCACGCAGCGAGCCCCCACAATCGGTCCTGTGGATGATAATCAGAATATCTGCTTCAAAAACATAGAGAGATGGTCTCAGTGCTTTTGAAATGAAACATTGGTCAGGACACTGGAGAGAGCTCCCCTGCCCTTATTAAGTTGTGGCTGTGGAATATTTTGCATCTACCAGCATCAGCTTGGACCTCAGTTCAATGTCTTGTAGAACAGAGCACCTCTGAGAGTGAAGCAGTCCCTCAGTACTGCACCAGAGGGTTCGACTGGTTTTACAGATTGAGACGTAGAGAGAATTTTAGAATTAACACCAATGCATCTCCTACCTGTTGGACCACCTCTTTTACGACCCTACGATTGAGGCATCTGGATCCAGAGACTTGTCAGATCCCAACTTCATCATTTTGCTCAGTCCCACTTCCCCAGTGAATGTAATCTCACTGAATTCCTCACTCCTGATTTACTGCTGTTACTGAGATGGTTTTCATCCTCTACAGTGGAAACTATTTGTTCATTTCATCCACTATTTCCTTACTGTCTGCTATTAAATACCAGTTCTCCTACTCTAGAGGTATTTACTCTTTTCCATTTTAAATACCTGTAGGAAACCTTACGGTTTTTTTAAACACTCCGAGCTAGCTTTGTCTCATAGTCTAATTTACTTTTCCTCCTGATTAATATTTCAATCATATTCTGCTTTCTTTATACTCAGACTAATTATCTGACCTGCCACTTAACTTTGTACAGTCATGTGCCTTTTCCTTCAGTTTGATGCTTTCCCTAATTTTTAAAGAATTAACCGCAGATGGTGGGTCGTCCCTTTTAGAATTTGTCTTTATCGTAAGTGTACACTTATTCTGAAGTTTCCCCTTAAATGTCTGTCACTATATTTCTATTTATCCACTCCCAGGTTTTGTATCCCAGTTCATTTCAGCTCATTTGGGTTTCCTGCTCTCACCGTTGCCCTTATTTAGGTTTAAAACACTAGTCTTAGACCCACGCTTCTCCCTTTAAAACCAAATGTAAAGTTTAGATCATATTGTGGTTGCTGCTACCTAGGAGTGCCTTTACTCTGAGGTCACTGATTCATTTTGTCTGTTCCAAAATGTGCTGCTCAAGGAATGCTTTTGAGAATTTCTATCAAGTCCTCTTCCAGGCTATTATCCCCAATCTGACTTTTCCAGTCTAAATGTAGGTTAAAATCAGCCATGATTATTGCCATCCCCTTTATCACCAGCACTAAAATGTTCTTCTAATACACGTTGCTTCAGACTGTGGTTTCTGTTAGGTGTCTGAGACTCCCAATAGTGATTTATTTATCCTGCTGTCCCTCATTTCTACCCAACTCAATTCTACATCTCCATCTCCTGAACAAAGGCCATTTCTAATTGTTGCATAAATGCCATCCGCGATTACCAGTGCTTTCCTTCCACTTTTTCTAGACCATAACATCAATCCTAGAAGCAGGAGCAGGCCATTCAGCCCCTCAAGCCTGCTCCATCATGGCTGATCTCAACTTCACTTTTCTGCCCGCTCTCCATAACCCTTTCACCCATTACTCATCAATAATCTGTCTGTCTCCACGTTAATTTTACTCAATGGCCCAGCATCCACTACACTCTGGGCCAGTGAATTCCACTAATACACAAATCTTCGAGAGAAATAGTTTCTCCTCCATCTCTGTTTTAAATCTGCTTTCCCTTATCCTAAATCTATGACCTCTCGTTCTAGATTGCCCCGTGAAAAGCTCTATATCTACTACTTTGTCAATCTGCTTTAGCATCTTCCATCCCTCAATTAGATCCCCTCTCATTCTTCTAAACTCCAGACAGTGTCAGCCTAAACTGCTGAATCACTCTTCATAAGACAAACCCTTCATCTCTGCAATCAATCTAGTGAACCTTCTCTGAACTGCCTCCAATATACACCACTACGTAGTAGTGATCATAATATGGTTGAATTTTACATCCTGGCCTTTAGGACCCTTACGTTGCTCCAACCCACAGTCACAACTTCAATCCTCAAGTAAGGGAACAGCAGGAGGCCATTCAGCCCTTTGAGCCTACTCCACCATTCAATAAGATCATGGCTGATCATCCAACTCAATCCCCTGATCCTGCTTTCTCCCATAACCAGTGTGGGGCAGCACGGTGGCTCAGTGGTTAGCACTGCTGCCTCGCGTGCCAGGGACCAGGATTTGATTCTGACCTTAGGCGAATGTCAGTGTGAAGTTTGCACATTCTCCCTGTGTCTGCATGGGTTTCCTCCGGGTGCTCCGGTTTCCTCCCACAGTCCTAAGATGTGCACGTTAGGTGTATTGGCCATGCTAAATTGCCCATGGCATCCAGGGGTGTGTAGGTTAGGTGCATTAGCCATGGGAAATGCAGGGTTACAGGTATAGGGTAGGGAGGTAGGTCTGGGCGGGATGCTGTTCGGAGAGTCAGTGTAGATATGTTGGGCCAAATGTGTTGTATCCGTCCTGTAGGGATTCTATTCTGTAACCTTTATCCCTGTCTGCTATATCTAACACTTTCTTGAAATCATTCAACAGTTTTGATCTCAACCACTTTCTGTGGCAGAGACTCCCACAGGCTCCCCCCTCTCTGGGTGAAGACATTTCTCCTCATCTCAGTCCTAAATAGCCCACCTTGTACCGTTAGACTGTGACCTGTGGTTTTGGACTCCCCAGTCATTGAGAACATCCTTCCTACATTTATCCAGTCTAATTCTGGTAGAATTTTATAGGTTTCTATGAGATACCCCCCACCCCACCCCCTTATTCTTCTAAACTTCAGTAATACAGTCCTAACTGATCTAGTCTCTTCATACATCAGCTCTGCCATCCCAGGGATCAGAGGGGTGAACCTTTGCTGCACTTCCTCTATAGCAAGAACATCCTTCCTCAGATAAGGAGACCAAAACTGCACACAATACTCCAGGGGTGGTCTCACCAAGGCCCTGTGTAATTGCAGCAAGACGTTCCTGCTCCTGTACTCGAGTCCTCTCACTATAAAGGCCAACATCC